ATAGGCAGGGCTTTGGCAGTATCTTCAGTTTGAGAGGAAATTGCAAAAATATTTCAAGTAACCATCTAGATGGCTTAAGTCAAAACTCAGGGAGGAAGATGAAAAACTAGCTGTAGAAGGTGGTTCATTCTAGGCACATATTTGCAAGTTCAGGTTGGAGGATATCATAACTTCGGTGGCCTGATTTTTTATTTCAAATCCCTTTTCACAGTAATATTTTGGCTTAAGCTTGTGTTATCATGAATGCATCTATTGCCTTTTCCCACTCAAAGATTTGCAGTTGTCCAGATGTGATACTGTGTAGGAGCTGACAGCAGCAGAAGTAATCACACATCTGATCATCTGGAATATGTCACTATCCATATTAATGTATGAACTTTTAAACCATTTATGGGCAGATCATGGAGAAGGTCTTTATCTTCAATATAATATAACATCATTTGTGATTTATCTAATATATGCCCCTAGTACATTCAGTTTTATATTATTCTCCATTAGTTTTAGTTCTAATTTTACTTTAAAATCTAATTTAAACTCTTTTTAAATCCTGAAATCCAGAACATTCTGATATAATCTCATAGGTTGTGTATTTTCTGTGCCTTTTACATCTTCCAGTTCTAGGTAGGGATATTACATGAAGGAAAGTATTGTTTTTAAAAATAGTAAGAATAATCCAGCTGCCAATAATCTTGAACTCTAATGATGATGAATAGCTGTCTTAGGTCTGTTCAGAAACAAAACCCACAGAATTATAGAATGTGTTGGTGTGTTTGTGTGTTGTATTTAAAGGAATTGGCTCCTGTCATTGTGGGGACCAAGTCTGAAATCTGTAAAACATCTGGCCTACTGAAAACTCAGGCAGGAGTTGATATATGCAGCCTTGAGGTAGAATTTCTTTTATGAAGTCTCAGTTTTTGCTCTTAAAACCTTCAACTGATTGGGTTATATTGATCACATTATTAAGGGTAGTCTCCTTTTCTTAAGGTCAACTAATTGTAGATGTTAACCACATCTATAAAGTATCTTCGCAGCAGCACCAAGATTGGTGTTTGATTAAATCATCAGGTACTACAACCTAGCTAAACTGCCATAGACGAGTGAGTGACCATCACAGTTGCTAATGGAATTAATTTCTCTTTATTACCATTTTTCTCTATTACTTTTCCAAGATCTTTGACTGATGCCCAAATTAAGTGTTCCTACTATCCAATCCTAAAGTCCAAGTCAATGTATGCTATTATATGTTCACTTGGGGTTCTTATCTATATAAATCTGGTAAGTTATGATTGCATGGGTCTGTAATATGTTTCCTCAGCCATGCCAGTGATGCATCACACTGAGCCTTATATCCCAGTTTACCCAGTTTACACCTGTTACCTAGTATAATTTTTAATAGAACTCACTTGTTTCTAAAGTCTGTCCATATTTGGAAGATAAATTATATGATCACCTTAATCATAACAGAAGGGGACTATTTTAATAAAGGGATAACAAGTGGTTATCATCAAAGACTTATCAGTATAGATGGTTATCAGGGAGTAAGAAAGGTGTGATCAGTAACACCATGTAAGCAGCCATTAATTAGCCTTCATGTAGCACTTGTCCTGATATTGACTTTGTGTCAGAAATTTAATTATTTAGTGCATTGTGATGATTTACTTATTCTATTTTTGTCACTGATTAAATTTTTGAACTTGATTTCCTCATCTGTAACCAGGACTCCTGTATTAATTACCAGAATTGGATTGTGTAATTTAGTAAATCTTAAGTTCATGGGAAGAGAAAATATGCAACATTATTTTATAAAGATTTGCCTCTTTTGTCACATCTATTTTGGTTACTTCTATTTTTTAATGGATGTATCTCATTCTTGGTACTTTCATAAAGCATTATGATTTATTTTCTATCTTCATAAGAAGTCTGATTTCCTTCTAGCCAAAGGGGTTAAGTTTGATTTTTTTAATAAACTTCCCATGAAATTATTCATTTCATTTTTAAATATAATCTTTTCAATTTTAATACTAAATATTAATTGAAGAAAGTGTGATGTTCTTTCTCTAAGCTATGCTTTCAGTAGATGGGATAATACAGCATTGCAAACGACCATTTAAAACCAACAGATGTACTTATGCCAGGATCTAGCTGCTACAAATGTGACGGATGAGGCCAGGGAGTAAATGGAAATAGACATGATTCTTACTTATCTCAAAGGTGTCATTTAGCAAATGTACAAAACCCATTTTTCTGAAAAGAAGTATATATGAAGAGATTTTAAAATGATTATGATAGTAATATTCTTTTTAGTTTTTTAAAAAATTACTCAAAAGCTCCAGCTCCTCTCTACATTCCAGATTATTTCTTTATTGATTTACTTGGATAAAAGTCCATTCGGATTTTTTTGAAAAGAGTCAGTATTTGAAAATGGTAGTGTAATTAGGATGTTGCCCAAGCGGCCACAAAGACAGAGGGGAAGGTCATTACAACTGAGTGGGTCGTGCATTTCCTCCAACACCCTCTGCAGCTTTTCTCATTTGGTCTTAGTGTTCTGCTAGCCGATTGCCTTTCCTCCAGTTCAGTTACTGCTCATTCTTCAACACTGGGCTCCAGCCACAAACTCTCCATAAATAATTTTCATAATGACGTCAACTTGAACAATATTTTCATATTTTCTTTTCACAATCTCCTTTAAATAAGTCTTAGAATTTAGGGTGAAATATTTTTTAAAGAAGTTAGCTTACATTTTTCTCCTTACATTTTCCATCTTTTCTTACTGAATTTTCTTTCCATCTCTTCAAGTACTTCCATGACTTTTATGGTAAGGCTTTCTGGGTTATGTTTCCAAAAGTCTAAACACTTGAGGGAAAAGAGATGTAAGCCTTCAAACTCTTCAGGCTGAGAGAATGGAGTGGTATTGATATTGACGAAGGGACTTGCAGACTCCTCCCCAGCAGGACCCGAGGACCCCAGGAAAAAATAATAGACATAAGTTCTTGAGGAGGTTTAATTTACACCCAGAGCTCTGCACCAAAGATTTCTGTGTCTCAAGTATGGCCGAAGTGTAACAACGAAGGCTTGAAGTAACCATGTAGGTTGGAACGAAAGGTATCTAAACAGTAACAAATGTGACCAGATGATCACATCTTCAGGGACTAAAAACCCCTGAAAAAGAGTGGGGGTGGAGATTTCCAAGGTCTTATGTTAAATTTCCCACCAGCCTTATGAGATGAGGTCTTTGGATTTAATAGGGCATGGCTTACAGACATTAACAAATAGAGTCTTTCCAGTACAGCTGAATTTCTGAATGGAAATACACATATACACAATATCTTGCAATTGTTTCACAGAGACTCATGGGAAGAAATTATGTCCAATCAGGATTCTTCATTTTAAAGCAGAGCTGGTGGAAAATAGTTTCTTCCAAATTGCTTGGTCCTCTAAGTCTCATCCTGAGGAAGAAAGTACACCAGCTTTAGAGTTCAGACACTTCAGTGGTAATTCCAGGCCTGCCACTTCCTCGCTGTAAAAACTTGATGAAACTGATTAACCTCTCTGGACCTATTGTGTTTGATCTCTTGTTCTCTGCAACATGGATAGGGCCAAAATCTCAGACCTCTTCACCACAATCATTGTTTCCCAACTTCACCTCTGGTAGGTGGTGTGGATAGAGAGGGAAGCCTTTTAGAATAAATACTTGTTGAAATTATGCTCTGATGGATGGTTATTGTTCTTGAGAGAACTTGCTTTGCCTTCTAGATGCTCCATTCCCAATGTCATAGGTACTGTTGTCCCCCCACCCCCACCCCCCAGATGTAGCGGGCAAGTGCCTCACAGACCATGACACTTTCAAATGCACAGTGGGGAGCTGGGTCCTTGTGGTGAGACCAGAGAGGAAAGGAAACAGGGAACTGGAACTGCCGAAAGATTCCTAGACTCACGTCCGGAGCTGTCTCTATAAGGTTTGTGTTCTATGGGTGTCGCTACCTACACCAAGGACCACTCAATTTCTTTACAATCCTGTGCTCCAAATTTCTTTTAAAAATGTCTGAGTTGCAGCTTCCAGTTTCTGATCTCTCTTTCGCTCTATTACTAAATGATCCGGTTGGATAACTCTTGATTTTTCCTGTCCAATGTTTTTATATTTTTCTTTAATTGAACTTCAATATTTTTTTGGATAACTAAACCTTCTGTTGATGGTGTGAATATATATAGTTTTGTGAGGCCACTAAATCCAAGGTCCTGACTATTACTAAGCCAAACATTCACTTTACCATACAAGCAACACAGGTCTGGTATGGATTCATCCATGTATTTAGCACTGCTCGTTTTTATTATCTGGAGATTTCTCTTTTTTTCTTTCTTCCTTTCTTCCTCTCTCCCTCCCTCCCTTCCTTCCTGTCTTTTCTCTTTCTCTCTTTCTTGAGCTTTTTTTTTTTAAACTATTTTTAGTAGCATTTCCATTTGTGGCAGAAAATTTTTATGGTTATATGAGTGCCATTTTTCCAGAGCTGAAAATATTAAAAGTAGCATATTTATGATGATTTTGATGTATTGACCTTTTTACGTGTTAGTATAGCTAAATCTGAATGTCTTTTCTTTTAAAATTCTTTTATTATTTCTTTAAATTTTCCATCAGGGGATTAAATAATCACCTATAAATTCTACTTGTAAGAATACATTTTTAAAAATAATAGAGACTTTAATCCATGTGTACTTATTTGATATCTGCTCTGAAGTGAAGCTTTTTTTCCAATGTATTTTTCAAAAGTGAGCCAAGTGTCACAGGATCATTTATTAAATAACACTCTTTTCCTACTAATTTGTTAAGGCACCTACATCAAAAACAAAATTCTCACATTGATACTTGTATAAATTATTCTGAAATTATTAGAGATTTTGACAAATTATTATAAATATAAAATATCAAAAACTATTTTGTCAGAAAACAATTCCATTATAATATTTTTAGGGTAAAATCGTACCTTCTCAGTCTTATGTTTCAGAGTGTTACAAGTGACCTTTCACAGGTGATGGGTATTGATTTGAATATGCTGATGAAATCACTTGGTTTGCAAGATGTTTGATAAAAAAAACGAAACCTTAAACTCCCAGCTCTGTTGGAACAGATGATGTTTTGCTGCCTGGTGCACCAATATTCATTAAACAGAAGTATGTGTCCAAAGTTCAGGTATGAATAAAAATGAAATGGATTCTCTCAGTGCTTACATGTTAATCTCCATTAGGTCATCATTTCTCAATACATGTATGATTTGCACTTTGTTCTTTAATATAAAAGGGGCAATTAAAATATTACAAAGCTTCCATGAACTCTGAAGAACTTTTGTTCTCATTACTAATCATTTTTAAACTGGAATTCTGTAGCCAGCTTTACAAACTTGCATAACTGGCTAATTCTAGGAACGTTTTCTACTCCTATTTTCATCCTTCGTATAACCCTAAATGTTTTTCTCCAGTTATGGATACCAAGCACAAATGGAGGATAGACTAAGAAGAATTTTAAAAGACAAAATTATTTGTAATATTTTACATTGTGGTAACTATATCCTAATTAACTGAATCGTACGATGTAGTATATTTTTCTTTTATGACTGTCACATGTGAAACATGACCAGAGTTCCCTGCTCTATATGTTCCATGCATCGGTTCCTACCTACCGTTACTCGAGATTCTCAATGGGCCTTTTAAACACATGGTGTATCATTAATCCTGTCCAGTGCCTCCATCTCCCTTCCCCTAACTCCCTGTTCCTTTCCATCCCCTTCACTTTTTCCCTCACTTTCTCCAACCTATTTTCATGAAAATTTGTAGAGTTAAAGTAGGACAAGTAAGAAACATGTTTATTTCACTGTGTATCAACTAGTCAGCATGTTTGTTCATTAAAGGGACATGTGCAAAATAATTGTCATGTGCTATTTTTATTTAGTAACTATTATCAATATTTTAATCATTCTTCATTCATGATTTTTGAATCACTGATTCAATTTTTCATTAGAAATATAATAATCATATTCAATTTAATATGTAATATATTTTTAATAATTTTATTTCATAAAGTGAAGTAATTAGGTGATTCTGATCATATTCAGTTTCATCGATGACATCATTAAAACTTACTTTTTTCATTTTTATTTTCCCAGAGTAGTCTAAGAGTATCAGTGTCATTGGTTTTATGACATTTATTGGTTTTATTTATTTTATGTGTTCAACTTTATTGTTATAAACATCTCCAGGTCAGTTATTGTTTTATTAAAATTCATTATTTATCGTTATTTAAAATTCAAAATTTAGCTAATCTAGTTTTAAAAAATTCTGTCAAAACACTTTGTTTACACTCTACGTGTTCTCTGAGAACCGTGGGAAGAACAGCTTTATCCTCAGAGATAGTTCCTTTCTTTAATGTACAACAGAGTGGTTTTCATTTGCAGAATCAATCTGGTGCAAGGCAGGTGTCTCAGTGAAAGAAATTCTAATTTTATTTGCCCTTTATTGAACCCCTCAATTTTTCTTAATTAAACTTCTAGGCTCCTGTCAAGAGTAATGTAATTACTTTCATTTTTATTCAGAGACCTAAGATCTAGAGAGCTAATTATTCATAAATATATGTATACACATACACACATACATAGACAACACACAGACACACATATGGTTAATTGCTATTGTACCGGGCATAAGAGAGCATTCTATAAATTGTCTTAATTTGTTCTCTCCATTTTCCCCTGCAGAGACAAATGCTTCTGCATTTGAACTTACCTCCGCAGACTCGTTCAGTTACTACACTGAAAGAGTTTTAGTACTTGATGAAAATATATATGGAGAGATTAAGGTTTTCAAAGTAACTACAAGTCAGAATATTTGTATATTCTGTGATGGCAACCTACAAAAAATGTAAAGGAAGTATTTTCAACTAAAGAAATGTAAATAAAAAATTTATATTTACTAATCTATATATATATAACAATGTTGGGAAAATATAGAACAGAGATTAGCATAAAATCACTTGGATATCATTAAAATTAAACTCCTTTAAATAACATATGATGGGATAACATAATATATTTCAAAACAGCACAAATGAGTCAGAAAGTAGATGTTCAATAAACAATAATTGAATCTGAATTTGAATTAGGAAGAAGTCTTATTATTTACAAAAATAGAATGTTATTTTCTAATAATTGGGCACCAAATAGTCTTGTGTGTCTATGTGCCAAGAACAGCCTTCAGACCTGTTCTTAAATAATGTCGCCCTCAGGCACTGGGATTTTTCAATAAAATTAGTTTTGCTGCTACATAACTCTCCTACATTCATCAAACCATTCAATTTTTTTCCCCATTTAAGTCATTAATTGAGAAAAATTTAGCCACATCTGATTCCAAAAAGTATAGATTTATGAAAGTTTAGGTTAATACATCTTCTGTTCCTCAGATGATCACACAGAAATTTAAAAACACTTCATCTGCTCATGACATTCCTGCAATATAAGTAGGAAATATGAAAGCAGTATAAGCATAGTAGAAAAAAAAAACCAAACCAAACCAAAACAAAACAAAACAAAACAAAACAAAAATAAGGATAAGCAGAAGAAAGCAGAAGAGGGGACAAATGGTACAGATAATATTTCAGGATAGGTAGTCTTAAAGCAGAATGTAGTATGCATAATACGCATTTGTCTTGGAAATCCTCCTAATTCTTCATTGTGATCTGTAATGTCTTGCTTACCTTTGCTCTTGTGAAATTTTTTTCTTCCAGTTTTATTGAGATGTAATTGACATACAGCACTCTATATGTCTAAAATGTACTGTATAATGATTTGACTATTTATATACATCATGAAATGATGACCACACTAAGTTCAGTGAATTTTTTTTTAGCAAACATTATGAATTACATATAAATGACTGAATTTTTTAGTTGACATATTCCAGCCCCCCTCAAAAAACAACGCAAAACACTGAGGCAATCCCAAATAATCAAACGTAGCTTTTGATCTCTGTCAGAGGAAACAAAACACCTTTCTTTCTCCTACTTTGCACCCCTGTTTACCTTGTCCCCCTTCTGCAACCCCTATGTTAGATTATCTTGTGTCATGAACTAAGCCACAGCCAGATGATTATAATTAAATAATCTCACTGCAGTGACTAAGGAAAGCATTCTGCTTCTTTCATCTTCAGAGATGCCTAATGAAAAAAGAAGTCAGACTCACTCGGCACAATATCAATTAATTTGCTGTGTTCTGTGTACATTTCTTGTTACACCATATGATATCCTTGTGTCACCCAATAAGACTACTAAGGAGCTAATCTTTTTTTTTTAACACCATTAGTATAAGGAGTAACAATATAACTTCTAATTTAGTTTCAAATAGCAAACATCTCTCGTGAAAGATTTACGCACTCCAAAACATACCTTATGTATCATGTATTAATGTTGTAAATGAAACCCAGAGCAAAGAGGTTTTCCAACTAAATTAATTCAAGCACAGCAGCTCATTGTTTAGACACGACTTATTCTATTTAAGTGAGTGAGGCAAATAATAAATCTACCTATGAAGTGTAGTACAACAGCGATATGGTCCTTGTGGGCAAGCATCATTCCTAAGTCAGTGTTTCACCTTGACGTTTATTTTCCATAAGTAACAAGTTTACCCTTTAGACAGCATTAAGAAAGCATACATCTTCAGCAAGGTTGCAAGTCATTGAAATGATCTCTTCCTTGGGCAATAAAGAACCTTGATTTCTGGACATGAAAGAATTTAAGGAAGAATAAACTGCATAATATACACATTCACTGCTACTTTCATAATCAATAAAGAGCCAAATATAAATGCACGACTGATGTGTGTTTTGAATAACGTCTGTTTCGAATGTAACAGAGTTTCTTTTCAAGCCATATGGCTGTATAATCTCTTCTTTAAAAACTGCTTTGAGTAAAATTTATCATCTTTTCAAAAGTTATGAGTTGTGGGAATACTAAATTTTATTGTCACGTAGACAAACTGAATAAATTAATTTAGATTCATTTTCATATCCTGATGGGACTCCCCCATCTTAATTCCTTCTCTCTCTCCCCCGCTTAATCTCTCTCTGTATATATTATATATGTAAAACATATAAAATATTCACAAATTCTAATCAGTTCAAAGTGATCTGAATAACAAGTTGGTAATGAAAGAATTGTTAATATCAATTGAACACATTATTGAATAGAGTTAAATTATTCAGCAGTGCTAGTCCATTACCCTACAAGAAATAATATCTATATTATTCATGTAGAATACCTGGGTACTAATGCAGGTTTATATAAAGATCCACATGCTGAAAAGCTGAGAACACTATACCTTGTAGAGAATTAGCTCTTTTTCCATGTTTTCTCCCTGAAGTCATGAAACAAACAAAAAGTCTAAATATAGAAATCATACACAGAGATAGGGAACCAGAGTTAGAGAAATCTCAATATCATTATACCTTTTCTGCATATAACAAAAGGCAGTATTCTGTAGCTTGTTCAGGCTTTAAATGAATGGATTTAAATGAACTGGATTCCTATACCGGTTCCACTACTTACTGTATGGTTTTGGTAAGTCTCTGACCTCTCTATTCCTCAATTTCCCAGTCTGTAAAATGGTGTCAACCTTACTGGATTAAGATGAGAATCAAATGAAGTAATATCCATAAAGCACTTAGTAAGTATAAATATTTATTGTTTAAAATTTATTTGTGATAAAATTGTTCACATTTATTGAGCACTTATACATGCCAGGCATTGTTCTAAATAAAATGAGTATTAGTATTATCACCATTTTGCAGAAAAAGTAAACTGAGACACTTTAAGGTGAAGTTACTTGCCCATTATTACATAGTTATTAAGGTGTCAAGATTGAGTTCAAGTCCAAACAGTTTAGATCCAAAATCTAGCTACATGCTGAACTATTACTATACTTCTCAACTCATGCAAAAAGTATAGAAAAATTAGAAAACAAAATGTGAAAAAGGGAAAAAAATTCAATTCTACTACCTGGAGATAAATAGACTTGAGTCTTATTTCCTAATAATATAATATTTTTTTCTGGGCTTATATATTTTTGTCAAAATGTGATCATTCTGTCTAAACTCAGTGTATTTTTAAAAAATAATTATTTGCTTAATTGAAGAGAAGCTACAGTGAGT